ATACCACAAACGTGAATGAACGTGAAAAAAGTTGATGCCAGCTGTGAAGTTCCAGCGACTCGCATCAGAATGCCCCAAACACACAACCGACAAGCTCGGATGGTGCACAGTACAGCGTAAGTAAACTCGTGTTGCATGCGCTGTCAGCTATCGTCGGAGTTCACGCGTACTGAGAAACTGATTATGGTGTACTATGCTATTAAGAAGACCGGGGATCATTCCTTCATCACTAGTGAACTGGTCACTCGAGATTTTGTGTGGTACGAGGCTGCTTCTGTTCGCGCCGGCGTAAGTGCTGCAATGCACGAACAAGTTAGGTCAGTCCATACATGGCATATCGACGCTGGGCGGTGAAATGTTCTGTACGGTTCTCAATCTGTTTACGTAAAGAGAAATAACGGCTGCACGCTTGCAAGCGACGGAAGACACCTTGCCGCAACGCTATCGTTTCAGAGAGAAGAGCGACAATTGTTACGAAAAAAAAAAAGAGAATATTTCGCGTTTTGGGGCTTAGTTTGGTTTTCTAGCGCACGTAGCGTGTAGGTATAGTCTGGTCCCAGGTGCATTTTCGATTGAGACCAAGTGAATATTTCTCAACAATGATTAGCTTGCCATCGACGATTGTACGATAGAACGAGGACTGCGCCATCTACGCTTAACAGAGATTAAAGTTGTCTTCTCCGATCGGGCTGGTCGTCGCATTGTTGCGTTTTCGAAGACTATTCCATTCACATGTGCGACGAGAGGCCGTTGCTCCAAACGACCTCTCTACCGGTCGTTTACTCTATTTTTTACAGCTATTACTTTACTTCTGCTTAATCTCTTCACAAGCATATACGCATGAAGATGAGGGAGTCTCATGACTTTTATATACGTGTACACAATCTACTTAAACTACCACCGATAATCACGTCACAGAGGAAAGCTGGTGCCTGCGCCCCCCGCCTCAGTCGGGTCAGCGTGACCCCCCCCCCCCCCCCCCCCCAAAAAAAAAAGTCTGGTTATGCCCCTGAAGTACACGGCTGCATACTTGGCATGTGCTAGAGGGCTGGGGGACGCACATTACCCAAATGCCCCCACCCCTTGCCGAGACATCTCTGTCCAGGTGCCACAGACGTAACTCTTTTTAGCGCTTATGCTGTCGTCCGTATTTCCCTTCTTCACTGGCTTCTTTTCTTTACGCTTGCCCCGCCGCGGTGGTCTAGTGGCTAAGGTACTCGGCTGCTGACCCGCAGGGCGCGGGTTCGAATCCCGGCTGCGGCGGCTGCATTTCCGATGGAGGCGGAAATGTTGTAGGCCCGTGTGCTCAGATTTGGGTGCACGTTAAAGAACCCCAGGTGGTCTAAATTTCCGGAGCCCTCCACTACGGCGTCTCTCATAATCATGTAGTGGTTTTGGCACATATCAATCAATCTTTTCTTTACGCTTAAACAGATATGCGCTATAAGCATACGATTGCATTACTGCACATAACCACATGCTTGCCTTCTTGTGTGTTTCTATCTTTCATTGTGTTTTTCCTTTCTTTGTAGTTCTTTCTCTCTGTGTACTCGTTATCTCACCCATCAGTTGTTGCGTCTCACGCCATACAAATTAGCGCACAGTTAATCATCTGCATAAGTGCCAAAGTATCAATATTACATTCGGCACCGCGTTCGAAAACATCGGGCGAACAAGTGTGCTGTTCGCAACATACAGCCTATAGTTGTTTTATGGTATGGCTGCTATTCTCGAGGCTTGCCATGTATTATATAAAACAACTAGGCTGTATGTTGCGAACAGCACATTTCTTCGCCCGATGTTTTCAAACGCGGCGCCGAATGTAATATCAATATTTTGGCAATCATGCAGATAATTAACTGCTTAGTCAGTTTTCACTATACTTAACCCAGTGTTGGCAACTGTAAGAGTAAGCGCGAGGTGACCACACACACACACACAAAAAAAACACGTTTGATCGAATCTTCGCATATCGCTGCCCTTTAATGAGCTGGCGCAGTATATTTACATAAATCAAATGAGCAGGTGTCATAGGCCACGTTAGGTCGTTTATGCCACTCGCGGAAACAAGCCTTGATTCGCTCAAGAGCGTGGGCAAGGGATGAAAATGTTCAATTCATAGCATGCTGCAAGACATGCGCTGTATTACGAACGAATAAGTCATCCCATGTGTGAATATTGAGATGAACTTGCAACACAAGCCTTTACTGTTAAAATGAAATAATTTTAGTACCAATAATTCGCGCAGCCGTCCAGTTCCTACAATCTAGATCGTGTAACGAACGTAAGGAAACGTGGGTGCCTCAGGTAAGCGTTCGTCGGCGAGGGCAGTTAGTCATAATCTCTACAACTAAAACTACCAAACGAAAAAGCGGTTTTGCCAAACTTTTGCTTTCGGAATTATTCTTCAAGCATGAAGGCATTCCCCCATTCAGCCTCTATCCACACACCATACTGTGGACAGGGTACGAGTTCAATTAGGCCACATATTTCCAGTGAATAAATTAGATCCATACCTATTACGAGCGTATTTAAATAAGCATTGAAACGACAAATCGCTCCAATGGATCCGCCGAAGGAAGGAAAATATTAACAAGGTGTTTGTGGTGCGGGACCAACTTGGTCTACATCCAGCAGTGCTGGCTGTCCTTAGTTCAGGACGCCAAAAGCACTTGGCGCCCTGTCGACCAAACCGATCTGATCGTCAAGGCTCCTCCACACACTCGCCTGTTCAATGAAGGACCGGCCGGGAATGGCCCGGCAGGAGCAGGTGTGCATTGGCGATTGTTTCTCGGAGCACTATGGGCAGGACGACGAGTATTCTGTTGTGTGCATTTTAATGAGAAAATTGAAGCTTGGATATGTCACAGTCTGGATTAAGCGCCAGCTGACAGCTTCCCTCGAGTTTTCTTGTGAGGGTGGGAGTAGACGCGCCTGAGCCCCTTGCGATAAATTAGGATGGCCGCATACTCGCACGGCACCGGGATAAGCTCCCCGGAGCCAGTGTCACGTGCTGCCCGGTGTGCTGTGTACCATCGAACCACCATGTCTGTTTCCTGGTTCGCCTAAATTCCCATATGCGACCCGGCGTCCGTATTGCGCAGGACGATAGATTTCGTGTGTCAAGGGGACGTTTGGATTTGGTGCGCCGAGGATAACAAATCGCCGCTCGAACTACGGGCCCATTCAATAAACTTCTGCAGGCTGCTGGAGAGTCCGCAAGGGTGTCTGTGAGTCTTTGGTAGTTGCTGGCAGCACTTACCTAGCGATGGCCGTTTCTTCAGCCTTCGTAACGGAAGAGCAGCGGATTGATGCACTGGTGATTTCGCGAAGACGATGGTCACCACCATGACTACAACCGTGCGACTATACCAATGTACAGCGCTGCATCTAAAATACCTTGGGCTCGTTTTATTGAGTGCTTTTTCCGCAGAGTCTTTACTCGGGCCTCCCGTCTACCATGGAATCGTGGATCTATATTGCGGGGTATGGGGGGCATTGTAGGCTTGCAGGTTAGGTGGAACACGGTGTTGTGTGACGATATTTCGAATGACGGCGTCGCGCGGAAACCGTAAACAGTGCTACGCCTATATCTTATCGCCTTCGAAACGCGCGTACCTCGATCCTATCTCCCCCGAAATCAATATTCCACGATTATTCACCCAAGTATCAGCAAAAGGCTGGGGGCACTGAGAAAGCACGTCCACTGCCGGGTTGCAAATGACGCCATCCATATGAATCACGACCTTTTAGAGGAGGTCGCGATCTGAATGTGGTCTTTGAAAAGCTGCGCCTCTACCCCCAAGATGAGCGTCCAGAACTATTCGGTCACCCAGCTTCACTCGCGCTTCCATGCAAAGCGAACGCCCACTTTGAGTCAAGGCGCAGCTTATCGCAGCGTTAGTCGTCCTTAGCATTGTGGCGGTTTGGGCTAGTTGGTATGGCACGACGATAGCTATAGCGCGAGAACAGAACGACGACAAAGACTAGAAGGAGACGAGTTGTTCGCCACATAACGGTAATCACAAACACGGGTATTTTTTATAGCGCCTGAAGTCCACGATGACGCAGTGGATGTGCGAAATGCAGGTATACCAAGCTAGCTCCGCACTTTCTGCGATCTATTCCCATTTGCGTAGCATATAGTCAGCGCTAGTTCCACGTGGACAACGGTTTGTAAACTGATCCCGAGGGCACAAAGCACTGAAACGCTTTTCGGCTTTCGGACGGCGGAAGTCTGGTGCAGCGCGAGACGGCGGCCGGCTTGGTTGCAACGCGCGCCAAGCCGGCTGGGCGCAGCTGGCCACGGGGCAGATTCCCGCGCTAGGCATCATCCATCACGCCGTCAAGCGGCACGCATGCAACGGCCGCCGCCCGGGTGACCAGCGTGCCCTTGGAGCTGCGAGGCGCACCTGCGACCCTTTGTATTTCCGCGACTGCGCAGTTGACAAGCGGCGAAGCTCACGGGAACGACCACAATCCAGCATTGTTACTCAAACGGAGCTGCTGTACGCTCGTCACTCGCTGCCAGCGGTCCACGTGTGCGTCTGTGGAGCCGAAATGATTTATGGAAATCCGCCGAGGTGCACAATGCCGAACAGCACCTTGCAAGCGCCGGAGCCCATGTCATCTCGACGAGCCAGAACGCGCGACATCTAGTCCAAGTAATAACGCATTACGTACTGAAAACCAAGCACACACAAGTTTTCACAATTTCTAGCGTTATCTACAAGATCGATATGTGGGGTTTAACGTCCCGAAACCACCATATGATTATGAGAGACGCCGTAGTGGAGGGCTCCGGAAGTTTCGACCACCTGGGGTTCTTTAACGCGCACCCAAATCTGAGCACACGGGGCTACAGCATTTCCGCCTCCATCGGAAATGGAGCCGCCGCAGCCGGGATTCGATCCCGCGACCTGCGGGTCAGCAGTCGAGCACCTTAAACACTAGATCACCGCGGCGGGGCCATTATCTACAAGAAAAGTTGCAAAACAAACAGAAACATTCAATGGCTTTATTCCACTTGAAAGCGCAAACATCCGTCATTACATCGTTTTATTAGACACAGTTAAATAACGTATAGTATAGTAACAATCCATGCTACTTTCAACTACCATTGTGAAATAAAAGGTAACTGCACAGACAAACTGCTACACACCCTAGCATGATACTAAAAACAAAAAAAAAACTAACTACCTTAAACAACACTAACACAACATGAGAAGTAGCCTACTAAAGTATTTTCTGTACAGATTGGGTTACATGTCATAAGTACACAGCATTTGCACACAACGGTAAGTGGAACTACAATGCCATCTAACTATCCAGCCACAAATATAGTGGTGGAACACAACACTGGTGTGGCATTTCAAATCCCAGGTAGAAAGCATAAATGTCCATAGAGAAGCATCACACTGTAACTAAGGAGAAGATGCCAAACAGCTACGTTTAGCCTAGTAAGGAAATGCTAAGATCATACCTGCCAAGTAAGTGTGGCTGCCTAAAGTTTGGGCAATGAACATTGATCGCGATGAACAGGCACCTATGAGGCTAATCTTAGCCACTGGTGCCTATATTCAAGCCATATTTTAACCGTGATCTTATGTACACTCTCTGCACATGGCAGTTTTAAAAATTTGTCCTAGGATTGTAAGGCACGGAATGTATCCAAGTGATTTTTTTTTAGTGTCGAGAAATTCATCTTTACAGCATTAATGGACAACTCCGTTTTGTTTTGGCACCAGCTACACAGAGCACATTTTACACCTCGAAGTGTGCAGATTGGCATAACAAGGAAAGCACTGAACCTGATGACAGAGAGGCAGAATAAAACATTTCCAGAACAGTTATCGAATGTCGCCCTACACCACCTCGTATTTTCTGATTGCTTTGGCCAAGCAGCATCCGAAAACAATGCCAACAACCTGCAAAATAAGAAACATTATCCATTAGTGTCAAGTAGTTTACCAACAGCAAGCGAGGCAAGTATGAATGATGAGTAAGGCACATCCATAGGAAGCATGAAATAATTTTAAGCTATGCTTTTTTTGCCTACTTGTCTTTAGTTTGAGTGACTGCATGTCTTGCGGAATGGCAACCAAAGTGCATTCCTACCGCGGCAGGATGAAGCGAGAGCTATTCCCTTCGCCTCAAATCTCACAGCTTCAAATAAAATGCACACTAGTTTGCTTTAGTGGCACTGCAATTCCAGCTTCATCTTCCCCAGCTCAGCTACTGGGCATCTGCTGCTGCACATGCAGTCAATTCATGTTCTCATGTTTGCTGTATTGAAGCCAACATGCATGAATGCATCTGCGTGTACATCAACAACACACTGTACATTTTCCCCTTTGTGGTGAGCTCAGCACTTCCTATTAGAGATAAGCCCAGGTCCAGTTTAAGCAGCCTGGCCAACATTTAGATAGCCCAGGTCCAGCTAATTAGTCAGGTCAGCCTTGCTTCATTTTATTGGAGCCAGACTTGCACCCAACATCCTTGCTAGTACTTCATTTCCACAAGGGTCATTCTAGGCCAAACGTCCCAGCCATTTTGGCGACCATTGCAAATGTGTTTGAAAAAAATGAAGCTGATTTACTGTATAAAAATCTTGGTAGAATAATTCACAGATGACAAAAAAATTTGGACATGTGGGAGCCTTCCATTGCTCACATAACACTATGTGAGTGATGTCCATACAAAAATTTATTCCAAAAGTATCGCTTCTCACTTCAATATCAAACTTGGTTTACGCATTAAGCAAATACATTTGTGTAAGGTGTTTGAAGCTGAATAATATTACTGCAACTTTTGCTGTATACACCTAAAAAAAATTTCGGCTAAATTTTCTGCTTGAATTTTTTTTCATTGTAATAGTTCGCTATGTATGAATAGATGAGTAATGAATACTTAATCTATTGATGGTACAGCTCTGTCAGAATTGTTAATTGAGCTAGTTGGTGAATGCTAGTCGTAGAATATTTTACAGTGCAACAAGCAACCATTGCCGCCCATTGCACTGCAAAATATTCTAGGAAGGTACAGCTGACCAAAACTAACTATTGTGTGCAGCGGCCATTTTTCGTCTCTCAGCGCCATATGCTAAAACGAAGCTTCAAAACTTGTTTTGAAGTCTTTTGTGGGCAAGCACTAGTCCACACCCTTTTTGCAGCCGTATGGCAAAGATACACAGTTGTATGGGGAAGATACACAGCAAAAACTGCCGTTCATGCAGACAGTTTGAAGATTTGGCCAACTGCACGTTTTGCATTGAAAATATTTTCAGATCACTGAAGCACGCAAATAGTACCAGGAAAATTGGGAACTTAAGAAAATAGTCATTCTGATTCACGTTGAAATGCAGTTTACACCAGTAGTGTTCTAATTAAAAATTAGCTCTTTAGCTCAATCAAAATCAAACAGTTCTCATGTGGCATGTTTTATCCTAGCATTTTTTTTTTCCTCTGGTGATTTCTGAAGGTGCATACAGCATAAAAATTGCATTAATATTTTTTAGATTTGAACATTGCACAAATGCCTTGGCTTAACATGTAAAGCAAGTTTGACATTGAAATAAAAATCTATATGCTCAGAATAAATTTGCCAACAAAAACAGCACTCTGATGACATTATGTGAAATTTGGAAAGTTCCAATGAGACAACTTTTCTCTTTATAGTATTCTAAGAATTCACAGTTCTCAATGCAATACGTGAACACGATTTTTCCAAAGGCATTTCAGATGGTCGCCAAAGTGGCCGGGACATTTGTTTTGGAATGACCCGCAAGAAAAATTACTTAAGGCCGACTATGTCTGTCCAGAAAATGGGCGTTGGCGTTTGTTTGGAACTATGCGATGCTGGTCCACTGAATTTCAGTACAGAAAAGGAAGTGCCAACTAGTGAAAAGGGCACTTCAACAGTAAGAGTAACACGCAGAAAAACTGACATAGTAGACTACTATGAGGTGTGGATATGCAGCTTCCATACCAGGTGCCAGGTAAAAATATATCAAGTGAGAGGAGCATACATCCACACCGCACACTGTTTGTATATTGCATCAGCTGGTATCCAGTGTGCCTTTGCAATACCAGTCATGCATGTTCCGCAAAGCAATACATTTCTAGCAGTTCGGTCAACAGTGCGGTGGGCTAGGGCAGGCAGCTGGCAATCTACTTCAATCCATATTTTTCTACCACTGTACAGTGTAAAACCTGGGGGCAGTCACTAAGGTGATTCTTGCATACAGAGCGACAAGCAAAAGAGTGTTTAGTACCTATTTACATTTTACAAAAGAAACATAAGCACCGCACATGTCACAAAAAATAAGCAGTCCACCGGTGTATTTTAATATACTTTTTTTTTACAGAATTGTACAGAGATGCACCTTCGGTTTCTACAGAGAGCTCCTGGATGACGTAACTGAGCAGTTATACTTCCTGCGCACTGTGTGTTTAGATTGAATATCATCAACGAAATTCCGTCAATATCCAAAGTATTGTGCAATTTTTTTTTCATTTTTGAAATATGGGCACACCATAATTTATCTCACCCTACGAATTACCCATTTCATGCCAGTTTCATTGTGGTGAGGTCTTTCTGCCTCCACACACAGTTTGTGAAGGCAATAACTGTCTATCAAATTTATGAAGTATTGGCAAGAAAAATCTGAATTAACAAAAAAAAAAAACTTTTGCCATACAAGTGACCATGGGTGGTCCTGACTTCTGTTGTGTTCAGGCTGTGAGGGGGGCACCCCTTGAAAGTGTAACCCTCCAGAGATTTATATTTCAAGCCATATTTGAATTTTTTGACAAATAATAATAGTGCATGCTCCATAGCACAGACTCTGAAAGCCTTCCAATGAACAGAAATGAAGTACAAAAAAGTAAAACCTCGTCGCTTCATAAAGTACTGTAGAGCACGAGATTTTGGGAAGGCTACGGGTTACTTCCGACAGGCCGCAAATGTTTATTACCCTGAGCTTTTAAATACCAATCAAATAATACTCGATAAACAACCTTTATTCATGTCAAAAACCTATTAGAATCGGTTCACAATGAAGCATAAATGCGATTGCTCAACTATGTGTCCTTTTCATAAATATTACCATCATCATCCCATTGCCCTGCAGTGGGCCCAACTACTCTCGCAGCAGGGCAAAGACCTCTTCCATGTTTCACCAATCAACCCAATTCTGCGCTTTCTGGTGCCATGCTATTCACGATGCCCATAGATCGTCGTTCAACCAAGCAGAATTCAGGAGCGTCCTCTCAAGGATGGTTAATAGACGACACAATGGCAGCTCTATGCAGTAGCTCCCTTGTTTGGCTATGCTAGCCTCGGCATTAACGTGTTAGCAAGAACACGACTTTGCATGTTTCCTCCAGCAGTGAACAAACACGGCCTTCCGTGACACGATTAACCTGATTCGTTCTGGTGAGGCGCAAAGTAAATACGTGGCAACTTGCACCTTCAATGATCGCCTACAACATACACATATCAGCTTTGCGAGGTTTTTTGTAGCCATGCAGGTTAGTTAAATTTTGTCAATCGACCTTTACAGTTTAAACACTCCTCTCTTTATTTGCATATAGCATTCGTCAGTGCTTTAGTAGTGCATGAATCCCATAACATTGTTTGTGGGAAGTTTAGCATGCTCCCGAGCAATCTCAAATTGGCCAGTGCTGTGCCACTAGTTATTGTACGTTTGTCGATAGGTGGCAGCACACTGCAAGCAATTTGCTAATTGACCGGCTTGAGAACTAAAATGTTCTTGGCACCCAGTTAACGTAGTGACGTGAAGTGCCCGAAGTCATTCAGCAGAGGAAATTGTTCTGATTGCTTTCATCAGAGATGTTGAAAGAAACCATCTTGACGACGAGGATGTTTCACTGAATGTAGAAGGCTGTGTGAAAGTGCCAAAAATGACAGCAACGATGAACAATCAGCTGCTAACTCGCGAGGAGAGAATTGCACTTCATGTACTCTAATGAGATGATTTTTTTTTTCACTCTCTTAAGTCACTTTGTTATTTACTGTATAATATCCTTAATCAAAATCAAGCACAGTTTTCTTTTTCCCATTGCATGTAGCACTAATATTGTGGATGGAATGCTGCATGCCACGAACACGCTCGAGCTTGAACAGCAGAGCGAAAAAGTTAGTGATGAAACGCGGTCACGGCCACAATCCACAACTCTTGATCTGCTATCTTCTCCTGCCCTTCACTGGTACCCTTGAAACAGCATTATACGTTATTCGACAAATTTTGTCAAAGAATGTTCGCCGAAAAATTTGACATTGCAAAAAGCATATATGTGTATTGTCGTCAATATTCACGATTTGATCGTGCTGATCGAACCTGCAACATGCGAGCGCAGTGAAGTGCGCATGGCTAGAGTCCAGGCATGGCTGCTACAACTGCTACAGGATGGGATGTTAAAGACTTGTGTTCTGTTGAAGTAACTCCCTGTTCCCGATTGCACGAGTAATGACGACTGTGTATGTTTGCAAGTCATCACTACATTGAACATTCTGTCCCATGCAGGTGCGATAACACTACTTGCCAGTGACCTACTGTGACAAATCATAGTCGGTACATACCTCTGTTGCTGTTGATATCATATGCCAATTATATTTCATGCAGTTTTCAGTAGCACGCGCTGGATTTCGTAAAGCATTGTTCATGCATGATAACAGAGGTGCAATATAACCTTGCACTCCATGGTAAATAAGTAGGTGGCGAGCTTCCATGGTTTTGGAAAGTGTTTTGGTCTCACACATTTCAGTGCAGCTCATGACTACCTTCTCAATTGATTCCAGGTGTCTTCCTTTTGTACTTAAAATTTTTTTTACACATCAGTTAAGATGAATTACTAACTCGCCCAGCAGTCCGTGCTTCTCATGGCTTTACCCAATGAAAGTGGCA